GGGTTTACATGGCTGAGCTGTGATTTGAACCCTGGACTCCAGAGTCATAGTCCAACACTTAAACCACTCTGCCATGCTGGCTCTTTGTATGATACAGCTAGTGCAAAATGCAGCAACAAGGTTGCTGACCAAAGTCCTATATAGACGACACATACAACTGGTCTTAAAGGAGCTGCACTGGCTGTTAGTTTGCTTTCAAGATAAATTCTAGGTGTTGATGTTGACATTCAAAGCCCTGAACAACTTGAGGCCTTCAGTACTTGAAAAAGAATCCCTATAACTGCCTGCCTAAGACAAATCTACTGGAAGGGGGCCTCCTCTGTGTACAAGCATTGGGAATAACAGCGTGGGAGAACATTGGGCAGGGCCCTCCCTGCTGTGGCACCCTATTTGTGGAATGGCCCCCTTGGAGTTTCAATCAGCACCAATCTCATTTTCCTTCTGGTGCCAAGTCAAAATATAGTTTTTTAGTAAAGCCTTTGAAGTCTAATTTACTTTTCAAATGTGCATATTTTAACTGTTCAGACTTTGCAGCTGTTTCAGTTTGTTAACTTCTTTAATGTATTTTATTCTGCTTACATTATGTTTATTGTTTTATATCTGGCATTGTTTTAAATTATTTATATTGTTTCTCTTGCATGCTACTCTCACACTAATTATATTTTAAATAATTAATTAATAAGTTAGAATAAGCCAAATGACTCAACGGAACTTCTGTTGCTGCTGACTTGCTAACTTTGTTTATAGGAATGTAAGTGTACTAAATACCCTAAAGCAGTGGTTCCCAAACTTTGGTCCTCTAGATATTTTGAACTTCAGCTCCCAGCATTCCTGATTGTTGGGAAAGTTGGCTGGGGCTTCTAGGAACTGAAGTCCAAAACCTGGAGGGCTAAAGTTTGGGAATTACTGCCCTAAAGGGATCAAATCTCCTCTGATCCTGGAAGCTTAGTAGGGTCAGCCCAGGTTACTATTTGGATGGAAAACAACCAATGAATACCAGGTGCTATAGAATATGTTTCAGAGGAAGGAAGTGGCAAAACTACCTCTGAGTATTCCTTGCCTAGGAAACCCCTATGATATTCATGGGGTCACCATAAGTCAACAGGGAACCTGAAGGCACAATAGAAGTCATAATGGATCAGATCAAAGGGCTATGCAGTTAAAATTTTATTCACATTGTGGCCAATTATTTGTTTATGGGAAGCCCACCAGAAGGCAAACATGAGTTCAAATGCAGTTTCTTCTTCTCAGCAACTGATAATAGATGCACACTGCTTCTGATAATGTAGGTGGCATATAGCCATCCTGGCTAGACCTCATTTTAGCAAGACCTTGAGTTTCTGAAAGAATATATATATATATATATATATATATATATATATATATATGGGTGATTCCTTCACTACTCTGAAACTTTGCAGCTTCTTGGACTTTTTATTTCCCTTTGTGACCTGTGTTATGCATGAGAATCTGTTAATGTGGCTTGGAGGAGGGTGCAAGTATCCAGGAGAGATCTGACCCTTTTCAGTCTTCTTTCCAAATTCCTTTTTATCAGTTTTTTCATTTGATTCTGTCAGTCAAATAGAACTGTTTTGGAATTCCCTGGCACTTTTCCATTAGGTATAAATTAAACCTGACAGTGTGTGATAACTGTTTCTAAGGAGTTTATCACATGGGAGGGAAGCACCTGCATCCTGTGAATAAACAGGGTTTAAATCCGTCAATATGCAGATTCAAGAGGAAATTGGATAACTTACAAACAATTAATAAAAAAAGAAGACAAGGGGAAAAATAATTATAAAATCTAGAGAAGAAATGAAGCAGGAAGGAATAAATATACATTGGTTTCCTTACAGTAAGAGGAGAGATTTAGGATGGATTTAAAATTGGAAGGAATAGAAATAAATAAAACAGATTTAGACATGATATTTTTGCAAGTGGAAAAAAAATCTCAAAATTGAGATTTTATTAAAAAGAGAACTAGAACAAGAAAGCATAAAAGATACGATGATAAGGTGGAGTCAATGATTCCAACATAATATTGAGATTGAAAAATGGGAAAAATCATGGGAGAGAACAAATTAATTTACTTTAGTTCATAATTTGAAAGAAAACTATTATAAAATGCTTTATATGTGGCACCTTACACCTATTAAGTTAGCTAAAATATAGGAAAAACTCAAACGCCAACTGCTGGAAATGTAAAAAAGAAAAGGATCATACTACCACATGTGGTGGACTTGTGGAAAAGCTAGAAAATATTGAAAAGACATTTGTTAACACAAATCTTAAATATACACTTTTATATGAAGCCAGAGTTATATCTATTAAATATGACACACATATTAGGAAAGAAGACAGAGAAGAAATATACAAAATTAGTATTATATATGATTACAACTATACGCAGAAATGGAAATCTTCTCAAATGCCAACAATGGAGGACTGGTTAAAGAAATTAATAGATATGAGAGAATTAGACAGATTTTCAAGAAGAATAAAGGAATATACTAATATAGAGTCAGGACTGGGATTTAGTGGTAAAATACTGGAAAGAAAAAGGTATAGAGTCTCAAAGACTAAGGAAAATGTATATGGAAATTTGAAAAATATCGGTGGGAAGGAAAAAAGAAAAGAAAGAAAAGAAAGAAGCAGAAAATAAATAAAAGTAGGGTAACAATAACAAGAAAGAATAAATAAATAAGGAGGGGGAATAGAGAATGAAAAGAGTGATATTTCTCTCTTCATTAGGAAATAAAAGAAAAATAGATAAAGCAATAAGGAAAATCCAAAATTCAAAAGATATAAGAATATAACCAGTAAGAAGAAAAGTAACCACACATAAGGACTATGTTAAAAAGTTTGAATATAAGTAAGAAAGATAATATGATTTGTAAGTTTTTGTTGTTGCTATAATGTAATGTAATGTATGATAATGTAATGTGAGAAGTGGTTGTTTGAAGATGTTTGATTTTATTTTAGGTTTTTAATTGAAATATTTTTTTCTATAAAATAAGTTTTAATTATTACCTTTAAAAATTGACAGAAAGTTTGTTTTGATTTGTAGTTGCTAACTTACTTCTATGTAGTCACCATCCAGATTTACACATTTTCTGCAGCGTTTCTTGACCCTCCGAATACCGTTATTGTCAAAGTCTGCAGATTGTGCCTTAAACCACTCTTCCACTTCATGAATGATGTCATCTGTGTTGTCAAATCAGCAACCTTGCAACGGATTTTTCATTTTTGGGAAAAGAAAACATCAATATACCATAGTAAGTTCCGGTTGATAATTATTACTTTACGATACTCCCTCATATTTGAATGGAACATTTGTACATTTGTCTGTTAAAAAGGAGCATTAAGCAATTGATATTCCCTTGTGTCTCAGAAGTCTGAGCCTTCACTAAGGTTAAGAACCTACAATTACTATACTATAATCCTGGGTCAGGACCGGACAGAAACAGCCTGGATCTCAAGGGAAGTTACTTTTTCTTTTGCTAATGGAGTTGAAATGTTATTGTCTGGATTTTAGGACTCTTTGTTTCCCAGAGCCCACATGGCCAAAGAGAGGAATAGCCTCCTTCTGCATTGATATTACCCCGGACCATCTTAACGGACAACAAGAAAATCAGATCTTGACATTGTTGGGCTTTTCTTCTTCTTCTCCTGTATAATATTTAACAGCTTTGGCTGATGAAGAAGCCAGTGAAGCTCCAAAAGCTTGCATGTTTAAAATTTTGCATTTTTGGTTGGCCCAATAAAGATATCACTGTCTTGTAGATTTTGGATGTTACTGTATTTTGGCTACTTTGGATATGTTTTCCCCAATTACTATAAATATCTAAACACAGGAATTTCCAGACTCAAGACATACAGTCTGCCTTTCTGCAAGCATGTCAACACAGTACAAGCCAAAACAGATATGATGTAGGATAATGTCCTATAGAAGCAGGGTTAGTGGCAAGAGAAGAGTGATTTGCAGTGGCAGCCAGGAAAATAAGTCTGGGGAAAAAAAAATGAAAACAGCTATTCCCATTTTTCCTGGAAAACCTAGAAAATCCCAGATTGAAGGGACTAAAAATGTCCTGGCCAGCTGGACTAACTGAAACTAAATTGTAGATTTCTCCTTCACTGCAGGCTGATGGATAGGTTAAAATGTCACAATGGCAATGAAGCAGGAAACTGTGCAAGAAGCCTGGCACTGGTGGGAACCTCATCCATCCTGCAGGCTCTGGTTGCTCCTGCACACCTTGTTCTTCCATTTCCTCCCTACTTTCCCTGACAGGCCCAGAAGGTGGGATAGTAAAGGAAGCAAGCAGAGATGTCCTTGTGTTGTATGATGGTTGTGTCGGTGGCTTGAGACGGCACGGTAGAGGTAGAACTTTACTTCCAAACAGCTTTGAGAGAGTAAAGGAAGTCCCTCTCTTCATACTAGCTAAAGGAAAAGAAGAAGAAAAGAGCTCTTAGCTTGGTACTGGTAGTGAGGTTGAAACATAATGGTAGAAAAAGTACAATGATTAATGTGTTGAATTTGCATAATCAGAATGAAAATTAATAATTAATTCTATGCATAATTACAATAATTTGCATAATATGTAAACTATAAGCCCAGATATGGAATGTGGCAACCCTAGCTATAGCCATGTTACTCAGATGCAAGCTGGGTGGGTAGTGATGACAGCTGGATTTCCTGCTTCTCTCAAGAAGGTGCCTAGGTCTGCAGAATGTGAGTTGTTATTCATTAGTTTTGAAATAAAATGTTTATAATTGTGGAACTACAATCATGGCTTCTCAGCTGAAATGCTAGGCACCCAGGTCTGTGCATTTGACAGCAGGTTTTTCACGAACAACAGGTTCAATGAGGACAAATTCCTGGAATGTCCTTGTAATTATGGACTTAGGTTAGATCCTTAATCATGCTAGTGCTGTGGTAAGCAAAGACATGTAAAAGTCCCTTAAAAATACACACATAAACACATGGCTATCATATTGTGTATTCTGCACAGAATTGTTACAGATAAATCTGATTGCTCAATTAATGAATCAGTCAAAAAGAAGATTAATTGATTACAATTGTT